AACAAAATTTAAATAAAAATATAAATTAATACAATAGATACATGTAATCAAAATGGTATAAAAGAAAAAAATACGTATTGTAATGTAATTTTGATGAATTTAACGCTCTTCTAATTAAAAACTTTATTTTCATACCGTCCCTACAGGAAAGGTTACTTGTATAAGTATAATACATGTAATATAATTGTTTATATATCCCACTAAGTTTTCTTGATATACCTGTATTTTTAAAAACGACTACACTATTCAGAAATCACTCATTACAGTCACACAAATCGATGAAAAAAAATCGCCATCTTATTAATCTAATCAATTAAACTAATGGAAATATATATTTTTTAAATTTATTTATTTATTTTGAAAGTAGTAAAGTCACCAGAATATGGTTAAAAACTAGAATCAGGTGACTCGTATCCATTTCTCCTTGTAGTTTCAAAATAGGCAATTTTACATTTATGTTATATTTGTACATTAAACCCAGGTATACATGTACATTCATCATTTTCATTATTGTTTCATTTGTGCAATTGTATTTAATTGCTGTTATATATTTTAGTAAAAGGAATCAATATTTTAAGCTAAAATAAAAAAAAAAAATTATGCAATAATTAATATATATATATATATATATATATATATATATATATATATATATATATATATATATATATATATATATATATATATATATATATATATATACATATATATATATATATATATATATATATATATATATATATATATATATATATATATATATATATATATATATATATCTTCTTATCGAAATTCTTTCATCATCAATTTACCTTGTATAAATTATATGTTGTATTAAGAATACCCTCTCTCTGTCTCTGTCGGGCCTGGTATAATATACGAGTTCACTTTAGTAAGATAACTTTATCTTAACTTTTAACTTCACTTTAAGATATTCACCCGAGGAAATTGATTTCATTCATTCATTTCAGGAATTATGAATGTGCGATTCGTGATGCTGTTTCTGGTTGTCTTCAATGCCTTTTATGCCAATACAAATTGTGAGACCTCCGGAATTAAAGGAAAAATCAGCGGGATACCATCTTTCCTCCTGCCTCGCTTTCTATCTGTAGCCAGGTCATTAAAGACCCTGAACAATAAAAACAAGTGGACATTGTCCAGATATTTAAAATGGCGGTCAATGTATGGGAAATGAAAAGAAATAAAATTATTTTATGAAAATAAAAAGATTTGTATATTATTTTGTTTTAAACTGCTGGGTTTTTTTTAGACTCATGTGATGTCCATATATCGATCTTCATCACAGTGCACGCATGTATACATGCATTTGAAATTATAACAAAACTAAAACTATCATGTAAAATGTAGTTGATATAATAAAGTTGAGAGATGGAAGGCGTGAAAAGAACTTATAAAGCCTGGTAAAATTTCAAGTTAAGAAATTTGCTGGGTTTTGACACACAGGAAACCCCCGAGCTTGAACTCTTTTTTTTAACACATTACATTATTAGTAGACTTATTTGAATTGTATGCCATAAGAAAAGTCGTTATAAAAATCCAAAACAATCATTCGATACGAAAAATTATCTTAATTTAAAAATAAGAAGCTAAGAAAGTGTACTGAAGCCAAAGTAAAATAGGGGTTATTTCTTAATATGTTATAAAATATATGTTAAATTGTTCTTTGAAGGTTTATTTTTTTTCAGGCGGATTTTTTAATGGATTCACTATGAATAAGTCTAATAAATGTCATCTGTGAAAAAATCCAACAATTTCGCACTTGCTTGTTGGGGGGAGGGGTTGTTCCTGCCAACAAGTAACAGCACCCGTGACTGTCTGGGCATGCGCTGCCCTTTATTTTTAATCGCGCAATCCACACCCTGTTGCAAAGCTTTATATACACTTTCGGTTCAACCTATACGTCATTCTCATAAAAAAAACATGCAAATTTGAACAGATGTAAATCTGATACGGTACCAATTTTGATGCACCAGATGCGCATTTCGACAATTTATGTCTCTTCAGTGATGTTCATGTCGAAATGTTAGAAATCAGAAATATTCAAATAATAATAATAAAAAAAAAACTTTGAAGAGCTTGAAAAGGGGTGTCAAATACTGGAGCCAAATATGTCGAAGGATATGTCGAATTGATCTGACAATCAAAGCGAGAGTTATTCTTACCCGGCCGCCATGTTATGTTGATGATGTTAAGAAATTGAGACATTAAAAAATGTAATTATGTATGTGATATTACACCTGATGTATATACATTTCATTGTTTAAATTTAAAACAATGTTTACAAAAAGACAAATCTTCAATAATAAGAATGAATCAGAATACATGAGGTATTGTGACTAGATTTGGGGGTAAACTGAATAATTTACCCTAATCACTGATACTCTCTGTTTACTGTTGCAAAGAAAGTAATAGCAGTTCTGAGGGGTTGATCCTAATATTTAACAGGTTTTGAATTTTAAAAAAAATCAATAAATTATTCTATTTCACTGTCAATAATTATCAACTTTATGCAGACCTTATTCCATTATATACGGTATTCATTTTATGCAGTTTTATGGATACACCCTCTTCGTGTATTGGTACATGTACCATTCCCTTTTGGTGAGCGGGGGTTACACATTTTTTTTTTTTCAAATTAAATTGAACCCTTATAAGATTCATTTATATTTAGCCCCCCCCCCCCTTAAAAATGTGTTAAACTTAAAAAGGTTATATCCATTAAACTTAACTCAATGAAACACCGTCTTAATAAAGTTGAGTAACTATTGAATCTAATTGAGTTTTTCATTTATAATTTTTATTTCGAACCAGCTAATATTCATTGCTTCGAACTACCCTTAGCATGCTTAGGGGAATATCAGTGAATAATTTAATTTTGTTTGTATTCTAGCCTCTGATTGGTTAATATCCAAAAAGGAACACAAATTATTTCTGTATAACCTGGTTTGGTATGGGGACACACCCCCCTGAGGCCAAAAAAAATAATAGTCTTGATTCCTGCTACCAGCCCGAAAAAAATAGGGTAGGTAGGTAGGAAAATTATTTTATTTTATATTTTTATTTTATTTTTTTTCCGACCACATTTTTTGGATATGAACTAATACAAGATAAAATAAAACATGTCGCAGGTCAATATTGTCTTTTAAAATTAAATTTCATGTCTTTTTATGCAAAACTCAAGTGGTATTTTATGAAAGTTCACATTTAAAACAAGAATTTCATGAAATGCTTGTTTTGTGTTTACACGAAAACCAATTACAGTGATAGAAAGATGAAATTCTGGAAATTCCCGATTTTTTTTCTTCCTAAACTTAAAAAAAACCTTTAGGGTCGGGTGCAAAAAAATAGGGTAGGTCGGGTAGCAGGAAACAAGACTATTATATTTTTTTGGCCTGACAACCAGCTGAATCGTCTGTATCCATGCAATCCTCTCATTTCCAGTCCTCGGGATTCATGGAAAATTCCAGATTTAATAAATGTACCTTTAACTTCAAACAGTAACTTGGATCTTACCACATGTAAACAAAACAACATGGCTGCTAGGACTATGTATCAGTTTTTACCTCCCCTCGCTTCCCATCACTTCCGTTACTAGGGTTGTATTATTGAGCGGCAAATTTGAACTAATAAAAAGCAACGAAATTTTACACCCACAGTTGTTTAATGATTTTAGAATTAAATTATAAGGAATGACTCTAATTCTTGGCCAAATTATTCGAGTATAACCTGGTTTGGGTCAGTTTACGCTGTTTTATAATCCGCGAAGCGGATTATAAAGCGTAAACTGACCCAAACCAGGTTATACTCGAATAATTTGGCCAAGAATTAGTGTCATTCCTAAAATAGTGTGAATTGCGCTTTTATTGAGTTCACCCCAAGTGACTGCTTCGGGTTTCTTCGCATGCCCATGTTACATGTATACCACTATATTTTCATTGTTTTCAGAACTATTTTAAAAAAAATCAGCTATTGGGGTTATACAAAACTACTATAAATAGAACGCATATATCACATCCGTGTACATTACGTCCAATGAACCTATCTCCGTCACCAAGGCCCTCTACAATAGATATCTCAACGTATTATAATTAGAAATTTTTTCCAGTTAAGTTTTTCTCCCTTTATCTTTAACTTATAAACATAGAAAATTAGTTTTGAAGATTTAAAATAGTATTAAATTATCATTTAGGAAAAAGTATCAACAACAGAAAAAAATAACATTAATATAACGTATTTTATATGTAATAACGTCACGCTACGTTATCTCAAAGGTGTAGCGTATTAGGGCAAATTGAGACGAAAAATAAAATATTTTTAGCCGTATTCAATATGGTATGTCACATTAATCTTTTGGCAAAGACCTTCATAAATATGACTGACATGTGAAAATGAGCATATTGATGCACATGTCGGAGGTATCGATGAAATAGCGCATAAAGTGATTACTGATTTCACATAAAATATGATATATACAATAGATCACGTGTACTTGTTATTTATTTTTGACGCATTCTTGAACTTGACTGTAAAAATTTCTCGGCATTTGATTTTAGATTTTCAGCATGTAAAAATGACGTAATAATCGCATTCGTTTATAAACAGCGAGGAGTTTCCCGAAAGTGACGGAGTTAAGGTAGTGACTGAGTTAGGGGGTTTGGCGAAACATGTACACATGTATTTACAATTAAGGTCGAGATCTTCTCAACAGTTGTTGAACTTTTCCTGAAAAGACTTGTGCTTATCGAAATTTCAATTTATTTTTAAATCTTATTAATTGTAAGTAGTAATTGTAATTAGTAAAGTAAAGGGACTCGGTTGTCTATATATTTAAATCGAGATCAACTTCTTCAACTCAAGTCGGGTTCGAGAGTCAAGCAATTATTATTCGCGGGAAAACTGAGTTACGAAACATCAATATTGAATGAAAACAATTTTTTTGTGTACAGTGCATAGCCTTGTTAAATCTGATTGCATTCAGAATGGTTGAGGGCCCAGGCTGTAAACTTAAAGGAGAGAAAATAAAATCCAAACTAATGAACCAGGCAGTAAAATCGGTGTCTGGAAATGCTGTGGACAGGGTAAAACTTTCTATAAATAATGATACATGTATATTGTGAATTAAGAATGTACAATGATTCTATTTCTATCAGTGTAATCAGGTAACTTACATGTTAATGTCATAATCACTTGATTTAATCATAGCTATTTAGTTTGAATTAGTTTGATAATGCTGTAAAAAATATACATGTATTTAGTTCAAAGTTGATAATCTTCACTGCACCAAAGTGCAATTTTTCATGCTGAAAAAAAAATTGCTCATTTAAGAATTAAGTATGATAAAATAGTTAAATCAAACAATTTTGAATAGCTTAATCAAGCCATGTAGGGAAATCAAGAGATTACATACATGTGACAGAACTGAAAAATCACAACTGGAGATTTGAAATTTTTCAGCTGGAGTTTGGGTCTCAAAGCTGGAGATTTTTTATCGACATTTTTTCAAATCGCAAAAGATCATCCAACCCCCAAATTCAGGAAAAAATACCTTCTCCCAGTTTATTCTTTACAAATTTTATTTTATAAAGTTGTTGTTTAGTTTTAAGAAAAATATGATAAAGTTTTTATTCAAATGAAGTGAAATTGAGTATTCAAAATGAAATCAACTCATTTCCTAGTAAATTAATTAAGAGTTAACAGTATCATCAAAACATTGGATAAAATTTTATTTTTGATGTAGTATTGATATATCAAATAGTAAGTGAAGTAAAACATAGCTAGGTTTTATGTTACAAATTCTATGCATGTCAGTAATTTGTTTTTAAATAGAATATGTACAGATGAAAAAAAGTACCCTCTAAAAAAATAAACAAATTAGAGTCAGTTATATTTTAGCAACATCCTGTAGTGTGATCTATTTTTAACTAAAGTGTGACCTACATTATAACTGTATCTTTTAATGACCAAAGCAGCATTAGAAGATGGCAACTTTGTATTTTAGCAACTAATTACAATGTTTTGCATTCAGTAATAAACATCAATGGTCTTTTATCAAGTTGATATATCACCAATTTTTACAACATAATTATACGACCTCATGTTGATTCCTACGAAGCCTACCGCTGTGAAAATTTATTGCACTGGCGTTGTTATCTCAATTTCTTTTCATTCTGAGCAATTATATGAAACACGATCAAAAAAATATATTGCAAATAATATTTAATTTGAAGAGTTTTAAAACACGGAAGATTTAAAAATTAATCGGGAGGGGCAGAAGGGGGGTGAAATATCGGGAGATTTTGTCTCCCGCTGGAAGAATCACATGTATGAGATTATGCCAGACCAAGCTAATTAAAGCCCCAAGTTGGGCATGAAAGCCTGTCCACTTCTCTAAAGAGAATAGCTTAGGCCATGTATTTTACATGCATACTCCAATTTATGAGAAGAAAATCAGCATTGGTCTTGCAGTTTTATATGTTGTACATCATATTAATATAAAGTCCAAAAAATATGCTTATGCCAGCTTACATTGGTAAAATATAGAGAATAATTTATGAGTAGATAGGTACATGTAATAGACTTCTACACATACATGCATAGCATTTGGCTTCTGCATAAACAGCATTATTATATTAAATGAAAATAAACGGATCTACTGCAGTGTTTAATCTGTAGAGTCTTTCAAGAAAAGATCCAGCGTCAGCAAAAATGTAAGGGTAGAATGACTTCGGGAAATTGGAATCTCATACAGTCAAATTTTTTTATGGGGGTGAAACAAATATAAAGAAATGATGTTGAATTCGATAAATTGCACATGCTATAGATTACCTGCAAATTTACACTTTATGTTTCATATGATCATGATGATGTAAGAATATTACATTTATACTGTTACAAATAGATAATTTTTCCTTTGTACCTAATGGCACGTGTACTTGTAGATATTTTGACTAATGCCATCACTGAAATGTCACTCATTAAGCTTTTTAAGAGATGAATCCTGAAATTTTTGTAATCAATTTCATAATCAAGTAATTCTTAATTTTTCTCTGACAATATGTACTGATATAATGTCAAAATTGTCAGATAATTAAATCATTGTTGGTGTTTTTAATTCTGTTTGTTTCTTACCAGGAGAAAAAGCCAAAGAAAGGCATCACAGTCTCACAGTTTGATGTGCTCATAGGAAAAACACTGACTAAAGTTCAGACACTTGGGAAGGAGCTATTTATGTACTTCGGAGATATATGTTTAAGGTACGAAACTTGAAAGACATGAAAAAAAAAATTCTTTCTTTAATAACAAGATAAATGAGAAGGGCTTGGATTATACTTCCTAGTTTGTAAAATTGAGAGCTATAATGTCAAGTTGAATTGAAATTAATTTCAAGTTTTATGAATAGATATAGTTGGTACACTGAAACTTACTGTTTTATGAAGATATTATTGTATGATAGGTCATTGTAATTTGTTTTTCCATCAATATAAATTTTGTTACCCTTCAGAGATTTTCCTCAGTTAAATATGTTATGTTAGAAAGATGGCCCTCTCAACACTACAATGGTCATATTTATAACAACAGTAAAATAACTAGTAAAATTCCAGTCTGAAACATGGGTAATGTAATTTTTACTGCAAATGATCTATGAAATCCTTTAGTCCTTAATGCATTAAAAAAGTAGAATAAATTTGAAATACTGCTGCAATCTTATAACATTGGAGTGAGGAGAATTGAAATCGTACTATTGTCATCTGAACTCATTGTGATTAAAGTGGTTTACAATATTAGCAATATTAGCAGATTTGAAACAAACTCAAAGGAGGATAACTTCTATTTGTTCTGCAATGTACAGTTCTTCCATACTAAGTCATAAGTTATGTCCCTTTTCTTCAACAGGGTTCATTTTCTGATGGCAGGGTCATTCCGAGTAAATGGACAGGCCCTGGACAAAGACTATGGGAAATTGACAGAGACGCCTTCCTTACAGGTGGACTTTTCCACAGACGTACTGACTTTTTACAAGTCTGCAGTACAAATTAGGTGGGAATCAACAACTGATAATATTTAGAAAGAAAATTAATTATGTTATAGTGGCTAAATGGAAAAAATAATGCTGTTAAAAAATAATTACTAGAGTAACATGTAGTATGTGGAATGTTATGATTAATTATAGTTATATTAATTGCTAGTATTTTTTCTGTCATATTAAAATTGAAATACAGTGTGTATCATATTGGAAATGGAAACTTTTTTAAAACAGCAAAAAATGCACATTTGTTGTACAGCAAGTGCAAAGAACTTTTAAGTACAAAGATTATATCACCAAGATGTTATAATTAGAGAAAGTAATACAGTAAAACACGCTTATAGCGAACATGCTTATAACGAATTGACGCTTTCAGCCAAGTGATTTTCATTTCCCATGGATTTAAAATGTATTATGAACTCAACAGGTATAACGAATTTCCCATGAATTTAAAATATATTATGAACTCAACGGATATAACGAATTACATTTATAACTAAGCAAAATCGTCCATCCCTGGCACTTCATTACAAACATGTTTTACTGAACTGTGATCAGATTTAATAACAGCTAAATTATAAATTCATTTATTTCAAAAATATTTTTACGAACTCTAAATCTTTTGACAGAGAGTCAGAGTCCTGTAGCACCAGGTATGATGATCTTCATGACCTTGACATTTGCTCTCCAGTGTTTAACCACCAGAGGGCCGTTACCTTGGTGATGGAGCAATGTGATCGTCAGGTGTGTGATGTACTGCTGGATCAGACGATTCTCCCAGGGGTCGGAAATATCATTAAAAATGAGGTATATTTGATAAAAATGAGTATTTAGGCAGTAGTATTCTTTGAAGGCCCTTATAATTATCTTTGTATTTCCTTAATCTAAAAGGCTGTATTTGAATTCTATTATTTTACACTTTCCAGTTACTTTTAATTCTCTCTTTTAAAATAATAGAAACATCCCAATAATAATAAAAGTTTAAAAGGATCAACTTTCAACATAAAGTTTTATCATTGTTTTTCATTTTACCCCACAGGCTTTATTTGACAGTGGCATCAAACCAAGTTCAAAGGTAAGAAATGACTTCTAAATTTCTACATACAAGGATTTTGTATTTATGTAAGCATTCTTGATTTTATAGTATTCCATGTACTCCCTTGGGTCAGATGAGTTTGCAGGAACTGTATTAACATGCAAAGGAAAAATTCTTAATATTATATTATTAAGTTATTTGTTTTGCATTATTTAGTTTGACGGAGCATTTGATTGATGTACATCCATTGTTCTTAAACCATGAAGTTACTGTGAATATATTACTTTTGGTTGTGTATTCTTTAAGCACCTTAGCTGGAAAGCAGCTTCTGAATTAGTTAAATAAAGTACATCGCTAAATGTCTTGTTTTTAAGTATCTATACTTAGAGTACATCCAAAATATGCAAAATCAAATCTATGCTAACTTGTAGAAAAATCAATTTTGACCCTTTATCGTACACGCTAAATACATGTATAATACATTTATAGCATGTCAGACCTTATAAATTTTGTAACTGACTGTAAAAACTGAGTGTAAAATAGATGTTTTTATTACAGGTCCAGGAACTTTCAAAAGAGCTTATTTCACATCTTGTAAAAATGACAAGAGATTTTTCACTCATTTTTTACAAGGTATGATACATGTGTCTTAGATGTCCATTATCTAGAAAAGATCTTTAACTTTTAAAAAAATTGCATTTTGTAAAAAAAAAAATCATTTAATTAAAACATGAAATGAAAGATTTCAACTTTCGTCTTGCTTTTTTTGATGATATACAGCAAAATAAATGTACATTTAGAGTTAAATATGATAAAAGCAAGGACACAGAATATAAAGAAGCCTTAATGATTTACTATAAATGGTTGTTTTACTAACTGCATTGTGTAGGAGGCATTTTGATCTGTCTGCATGATATCCAGGAAGCAAATTGACACAGATTGTCAAAAATGTGTCAGTTAAAATCAAATTATCATAAATTTCTTGAAGTTTACATTACCTTTTTGATGCATGTATTTAATCAATTTTGTTCAATTTAGTGTAGAAAAACAGGAACCAATTTGAACCAATATATGAAGATATACAACAAACGAAAGTGTTGCCAGTGTGAGGGGAAAGTAACAATAACTCGTACCGGAGAAGACAGTGAAAGAATGACCCACTATTGTCCAAACTGTCAGACAAACACATTGAAGTCAACTGTCAAGTAAGTAATAAGAAGTGCTGAAAAGGTCAGTCATAGAAACCTTTTTATTGTGATCGGTACATTAGAATGAAATTACTTAATCAACTTAATTGGTTTTTGAAGTTATACTGTAGAATCCTCAAAATTTGTAGGGGCTAATTTTTGTGGATTGCTTAAATTTTACAGGTTCGTGAGGACATAATTTCATGTATTTATTCAAACCTACAAAAAGGAAAATGACTTTGAAATCCTAGTATGATTCGTGGAGGATGAAAACTCATATATGGGTCCTTGAACATGTGTCCATGTAAAAGATGTCTCTTTGGGTAGAATCTAGATAGCCATTTAGCAAAACTGAAGTTGAGAATAGCCAAGATTTTATCACTTTTTACATGTTTACAGATTGAAAGATAGCCCTGCATGTCCTAACCTCTTTTATGCCTTCCCATGTTTTTGCAAATGCCCTCTTCTCATGTTTTCATCTACATTTGACAGGATTCATCCATGTAAAAATAGTCTGCTGGGATGGGTTCAGGCAGCCAATCAGAAAGCAGAAGAAGGAAAATCAGCCAATCAGAAACCAGAGGAGGAGTGGACCTGCCAGGTTTGCACACTGATAAACAAAGGGACTCTTCTCAGCTGTGAGGTTTGTCAAGCAGAAAGGAGGTCTAATATTTCTGGTGAGATTTTGACCTGAATGAGTTTCAGTTACTGTTTTTCCGTTTTTTGTTTTTAAATGATATTCATCACACTTTTCAAATAAATTCAACGATGGTCTGTGAATCTTTTCTTCTTTGCAACTTTTGATTATGAAATCATTTTGTCAAAAGCAGGAAAGCTTAACACCTTGTGATTTAGCCTAAAAGGTTTCATGGACATTATTGTTGTATTGCTGTACTGTAGGAAATATGATAAATGTGTACATCTGTAATGATAACTTATATATCTATATTTTATATGTGTATGTATTATAGCCCTTAATTTTTCACTTTATATGACAAGATTTTTGATATTTTTGTACAGTTTTGTTCTCAATTCTTTTTGTTTATAAGTTCTCTTTATCATTCAGTGGATTTAGATTTTTCAATGGTAGAAGCAATAACAAAATATTTCTTCACCAGAATGAAGTATATTATTTCCCATGCAGCTTGTAATATGAGATTTGATTGTTTAGCAAGCGGGGTGAAAATTTCTATACACCCTGCTGGAGCCAGGGGTAAATAATACGACATCACAAGAAATAGCTTCTGTAGCACAAAAAGCAAATAATGTGACATCATGATCAATGCATTGTAGCAAGTAGTAAATCTATCATTAATTTGAAATACCACAGACTTGAAGTGGATAACAAATTTATATAGTAATACATTGGAAATAAATTTGTTATTCAGATCCAATCAAGGGTATACAGGGAATTACCCCATGTTGTATTCTATACACCCTGAAGCCTTTTGCCAAAAGTGTATGGAATACAAACTGGTATAAATCCCAATAGACCCTTGAGTGAACTTGGATAACTAATATTATTTCCTATGAAGGGTGTATGGAATACAATCCGGGTTGAATCCCCATAGACCCTTGATTGAACTTGGATAATTACTATTATTTCCTATGTAGCTTGTAACAAGAGATTTGGTTGGTTGTAAATTTCTGTACACCCAACTTGAGCCAGGGGTAAAAAAAAAACATGATGTCACAATGCATAGTTTCTATACGATAAAAAGCAAATAACATAATGTCATGATGCATTGTAGGACGTAGTAAATCTTATTGATAGCTTGAAACACAGTTGATTGGACTTGTTTACAAAGAATTTATTTGGGTATATAGGAAATAAATTTGTTATCCAGGTCCAATCAAGGGTGTATGGGGATTTACCCTGGGTTGTATTCAATACACCCTTCAGCCTTTGGCCTCGGGGTGTATGGAATAAAACCCCGAGTGAATCCCCGGACACCCTTAAATTGGACAAGGATAACAAATAATGTATAACAATGTTCACTTGAATGTAGGTTTAGATGTTTTTATATTTGAATAGATACTGTAGTGACAGATTTAAAAAGGAAATTATCAACAGATTCTGATGAACAGAGCAAGAAAAGAATAAAAAGAAGGGAGGAAACATGTAGAACAATGACTCTGACCAACAATAAAGTGTGGAATCCTAAGCAACATCAAGAGAGCAAGCACTCTCAAGCACAAAGAAAAGACTCGAACTCCTTTTCCCATCTTGATCCTGTAGCCTCAGAAAAATTAAAAGCAATAAATGGAAGTAAATTGGAGCATTTGCAAACTGTGAAAAATTCTGTATCTGGTAACAAACTTTTTAATGTAAATAGTAATGCAACAGACATTAAAGTTTCAGTTCAACAGAGACCATCATCACAGGCACTGGGATCGGTAACCAGTAAAATCCCAGCAGGTCAGAACACCAGTAAAATCCCTCTTTGTCTAGGTCACAATAAACCATGCTCCATGACACAAACTAGGAAGAAGGGGGATAACTTCCTTCGATGGTTCTTTACATGTGGAGTTTATCCAAGGTCGAAACAGTGCAAGTTCTTTAAGGTAAATTCAAAAATGTTTATCGTTGGAACTGCATGAATTCCTATTTTTATTTAAATTCCATTATTTTTGAGTGTTTATTATTGTCAAGCTTTATTTATTTACTTTTGATTAGTTGAAGGGAATTTAAGAAATTAATAGGCATTCCCAATAAGTAAGCATTTGAAAATAACGTTTTTCAGACAGGTTTATGTGACCCCATCTATTACTTAACTGTCAGTTGAGGTCTCAAAATGGAAGCCGTGCAAAGAATACATGTCAGATTAAATCTACACTAAATGAAAGAGTGAAGAAATTGTTTTGATTAAAATAAAAACTAGTTGGATTACAAAATATTCAACTTGATGAATGAGGCCAGATACAGGAAAGAGAAGAAGGATCAAGCGAAAGAGAGTGATATGAAGATTTTCTTACTCAAATTAAAGAAGCTTTTTGAAAATATTAAACATGAAAAACATAATACTGAACTACTGGAGCCACTGTAGTATGCAAACTACTCTGCTACGTAATACAAGACTGCCTATGTGTTTTCAATTGTTAACTTCCGGAAATATCATTTTAATTCTGAACCGGGTGAAATTGGGACAATTCAAAAAGGTTTCTTGAGTAATGATTACAGTGGCTGCAACGTTATTGTTGACAACTTACACGAACGATCACGTTACACGAACGATTCCGCACGATTAACGCACGATAAAATCTGTTACACGAACGATCCTTCACGCACACGATTCTACACGTTACACGATCTTACACGATTGCTAACGCAAACGCACGATTCTTCACGCAGAATAGTTCAAGTTCTTTAGGAATGGATGTTTTCAAAATGAAATAAGGCTTAATACTTATTGTAGATTTCAAATAATTATTGATATTATTTCATTGACTTTGAAAAATGAAAAAAAAAAATAGAAATGGATATTTCTGGAACTAAATACATATAAAACTTATTAATTATCTTCGATTACAAATAATTATGTACGTAATTCTCCGACTTAAGAAAACTGTTTTATTTTCTCGTTCTATCAGTAGATGTACATGTAGGTGGACCATGAGTTTTGATTGAATTGGATTTCATAATATGCAGAAAGGGATAAGTTTGAAAAAAATGGCATGAAAATGAATTGAATTATAAGTTATTTCCATGTTTCCATTTGTGAATCTCTCAAGTCAACAATTATTTTACAAATCATTTATTTGCAAAAATTATAAAAATAATTAAAAGTAAGCTCCAGAGATAAACACTGATAAACGAAACCCCGACAATCATGTCGCGTACATGTACATTCGCCGACTATATATTTATGTAAGCATTGAGAATTGTTTATTTATTTATTTGTAAAAATATCAATTTTTGATCTATTGATTTTAAAAATATCTTGACCATAATTAGCAGTAAACATAATCAACATCAGAGAAAAAATCTTTAAACATATAAGTACGGTTTATCACAAAAAATCACGCTATTTGACGAGAACACAGTATTGTACGACTTACTATATTGCTTACTTCCAAGCGATAATTAGTTGTTCTGCTTTCAATTATGTAACTCGCGCTTCATTTATTTTATTTGGATTAAAACAAAAACAGACAAGCGAAATGCTTGTATAACAAATAACATTCCGATAAAAACTTACAAAACGAAGTTTACACGTTTCTTAACGCACGATCACGCACGATTAAAACCGCAAACGATTGAGTCTGATACACGCACGATCTCGCACGTTACACGAACGATCACGCACGTTAAACGAACGATTCTACACGATTGGTTTGTCAACAATAACGTTGCAGCCACTGTACTAATTAATCACTTACAGTGTACTAGTAAATGAAAACAGGAAAAAAACATACATTTTTCACATTTTTAAAAAATTTTATGCTAATATTAAATTAATTTTTAAAAAAAAATTAAAAGTTGTTATCAAAGCCCTACAAAAATTTTTCAATGTGCAGTACATGTAATGGAATCTGTAAAATAATGAAGTTTATTATTTGACCCCGTCTTTTATTACTATATCAGTAATTTGATTATCCTTCATTGATTAAAGGGGCATACTGATTCTTACTTGTACATGTTGGTTGGTCTGTCAGTATTTCAGTTGTTAAATCTTTAGACCAGCTGTTGTCTGAGAGGTACATGTATCTTGAGAACACTTTGCCTCACCGATATTTCAAACTTGGTAACTGGCACCCCCCAAAAAAGAGAAAATGATATGTTTCTTGTTTATTCATTATAATGTATTCAAGTTCTCAATGAAGTCAGTTTGTCATTTAGTGGGCTGATGAGAGCTTTCCAATCTGTCCTACCCATGGTAAACCAGCCGCATTCAGAACTGTGTTGAAAGAGGGACCGAACAATGGGAAAAAATTCTTTGCTTGTCCACTTCCGAAACAGAAGCAGTGCGGATTCTTTGAGTGGGCAGAAGGTTTCTAATAACAGAATACTTTGTGTGATAATTGTGACAGCATAAGTATATCGCTTGCCACTTGGTGTATGGATGTGTGCAATAAAATTTTGACTCACATTAATATTGGAATTTGTTTGGGTAAAATTTTTAACTTTTCTGAGCCAAAGGCTCATGGAGCTAATGCTATGGCTATTTGTTCGATGTGTGTCAACTTTCTGGAATATGGGCCATATCTCAAGAACCCCTTTATTAGCTCTTCTGAGCCAAAGGCTCAAAGAGCTAATGCTATGGCCATTTGCGCGGTGTGTGTAAACATTTTAGAATATGGACCATAACTCAAAAACCCATTGGCAAATTATCATCAAAGGACAAGGTAAAGTAAAAGCTGAATATAGCCCCTTATTTGATGTAAAAATGAGAACACAGTTAAAAGTGTTATAGTTTGTAGTTAAGAACTTAAAATGATCCTTGTTTTAAAACCAGCACTAATTTTGATTCAAAGCTTAATTACATGGAGGCCACAAGAGGTTGCAGAGGTAGAACATTTTCCTGAATTTCCTCAATTCTGGTGAAATTTCATCAAATTTGAGAAACTTTTCATTTCCGGAAACATAGAGCACAAGCTTGCCTCTCTGAGATTTTGATACATAAGATGCATCTGATACTAGTGTATGAAATATGTAAATTTGGTAGATAGGCAAGCTTGTGCTCTATGTTTTCTGAAACAATGTGCTATAAAATCGATGAAAATTTGCATAAAAATGAGAAAATTTGGAAATTGACATATTTTCTGACCTTCCTGTGACCTGTGTAACCCATAACTTAGAACCAATACTCATTTTGTGGCAGGGGTAGCAACAGGTTTGATTGATAAACTGTTGCATCATTCTAAAAGACACCCCAAACCAGGGGCCAAAAAGGGGTCTTAGCCTATCTTGTCCTTTGTCACAGGGTATCCACGTCCTTAGGGCTCCTGTTTATACCAAAACTAGGGTTGTGACACTTAAATAAGGGAGATAATTAGGTAAGTAATACCAAAAGTACTGGTTGCTAAAAAATCTTCCTCTTAAGAACCACTTAGATTATCACCAAACTTACATATAAGAATGAGGAAGACTAAAAATTGTTCAAGGCATCACCCTGGGGCAAAGGGTGTGGTCTCAAGGTCACTTCAAAGTTGACCAAAAATTACATTTTATTGAAATGTTGATATTTTGCTTACTATAAGGACTAGGATCATCAAATCTTGTCATTTGATGCATCTAAGGACCTCATATCATATGTTGACTCAAAAGTAGGTCGCAGTGATGTCCTTTTTAAATTTTGCGGTCATTCTTTTTCAAAATGATTTATAGGCATATTTTAAACAATTTAAGGCCTTTGATCATCAAACTTTGTCAGTTGATGCATCTTTGGTCCTCGGAGTACGTCAACTAAAAAAGTAGGTCACTTTGACCTCCTTTTTGAATTTTATGGCTAATCTTTTTCAAAACATTTAAGGTCATTAATTCAAATACTGAGAGGTTTAGAATCATTAAATCTTTTTTTGGGTCATAAAACATATTTATTAAAAGGTATGTCACAGTGACCTACTTTTTGAACTTTGCAGGCAAAGTGTTCAAAGCGTTTTAGAGGTATATTTTGGACATTTTAAGGCCAATGTTCATACAAACTTGTAAGTTGGTGCATCTTGGGTCCTTAAAAAACATCAACTGAAAACTAGATCATTGTGACCTACTTTCGAAATTTTATGGCTATATTTAAGTATTTTGGGTACTATTTGGCTTAGAATCATCAAACTTTGTCAGTTGCTGTATCTTGGGTCCTCAAAGAAGGTCAACTTAAAAGAGTACAAGAACTGAAAAGTAGGTCACCGTGACCTACTTTTGAAATTTTAAGGCTATATTTAAATATTTTTAGGTACTCTTTGGCTTAGAATCCTCAAACTTTGTCAGTTGATGCATCTTGGTTCTTCAGAGTACGTGTACTGAAAAGTAGGTCACTGTGACCTATTTTTCAATTAATGTGGCTATAATTTAATATTCTGGTACTAATTTGCCTAGAATCATCAAACTTTGTCAGTTGTTGCATCGTGGTGTCCTTGCAATTGGAATACGTTGACTGAAAAGTAGGTCACCGTGACCTACTTTTCAATTTATATGGCTATAATTAAATATTTCGGGTACTAGTTGGCTTAGAATCCTCAAACTTTGTCAGTTTATGCATCTTGGGTCCTCAGAGTAAATTGACTGAAAAGTAGATCACCGTGACTTACTTTTGAAATTTTATGGCTATATTCAAATATTCCAGGCAATAATTGGCTTAGAATCATCAAACTTTGTCATTTGTTGCATCTTGGTGTCCTCGAAGTAAGTTGACTAAATGTAGGTCACTGTGACTTACTTTTGAAATTTTATGGTTATAATTAAATATTTTGGGTACTAATGGGCTTAGAATCCTCAAGCTTTGTCAGTTGTTGCATCTTGCGTCCTCGGATTATGTCAACCGAGAAGTAGTGCTAGGTCAACATGACCTACTTTTGAAATTTTATGGCTTTATATAAATATTTCAGGTACTTTTGGGCTTAGAATTATCAAACTTAGTTGATGCATCTTGGGTCCTCAGAGAATGACAAGTGATAAGTAGGTCACTATGACCTACTCTCAGGTACTAACTGGCTTAGAATCATCATGGGTTCTCAGAGTGTTTTATCTAAAATGTTGGTCATGATGACCTACTTTTCGAAATTCAAGGCTTTATAGATAAATTTTACTTGAAGGCTTCAAATAGGTGTGATACTGGTTGTACAATTTATCGGAAGAGCGATTCAATGCCCTTGGGCCTCTTGTCAGTTTTCGTCAAATTTGTCACAGAGTATCCTTAGCTAAGTGCTCTCATTTACATGTATACTAAAAAGAGGAATAAGGGGAGATAATAAGAGAAATAAAACCCAAAGTACTGGTTGCTAAAACATTTTCTTGAGAACCACTGGGTAGATTATCACCAAACTTATGCGTAAGTGACATGTTGACTCTAAACAGGTTGCAGTAACCTACTTTTTGCATTTGCAGGTATTCATTTCAAATTGATTTTGATGCATAAATTAGACATTTTTAGGTCTATGATCCTCAAAATCTTTCAGTTTATGCATCATGGGCCCTTGAAGTGTGTCAACCAAAAGGTAGGCAACTGACCTTCTCTCTGAATTAAATAGCTCACCATTTTCAAAGCAGTTAAAGTCATTTTTATACATAGACGTTAAGAATCATCAGACCTTGTTTAAAGTTGATGCATTTTGGGGCCTTGAAACATATTTATCAAAAAGTAAGTCACAGTGACCTACTTTTTAGCTCACCTGGGCCGAAGACTCAAGTGAACTTATCTGATCAAAATTTATCCGTTGTCGTCGTTGTTGTCAGAAACTTCTTACAATTTCATTTTCTTCTCACTAGACTAGACTCACTAGAACCATAACGCCAAACTTGGCACAGAGTATCCTTTGATAAAGGGGATTCAAATTTGTTCAATTGAAGGGCCACGTACGCATCCTCTTCCAAGCGGAGATAATTAAGGAAAAGTAAAAATAGGGTGGGGTTATTTAAAAATCCTTTCAAGAACTACTGGGCCAGAAAAGATGAAACTTATGTGAAAGCTTCCTAACATTGTGTAGATTCAAATTTGTACAAATCATGAAATTGTGGTACTTTATATATTGACAAGACACTTTAAAATATGATAATGTACCAATTATAACGCAATAAATGTTGAGAATTATACGTTTTCATAACAAACAATTACTCATTGCAGGCGTATTTAATCAGCATGTCAATATCAATAATTTTATTAAAAATATATGTTTTATATTTACTCGAACAACTTAATTATCGATAACAATAATTTTTAATTTTATTTTTACTCAACACAGGTTCTTCAAGCCACCACGTGTGTCGAAAGATAATTCTGACTAAACCTGTCGGTTCATTAAACTTCAATTTGCCTTCCAAACTTTTCAATAATAAACAAACCTTACAGTGTCAATAAAATAAAGTGCTCTTGCTCTTTTCTTATTTCAACAACAGTCCCGCTGGACATGTTATTACTGGTGATGTCAATCTATCTTAAAAGATCTTAAATACATAGAATCCCAATCTTTTAATTGGCGACAGAACTTCATTTCTATTAGATTATGCTAGAAGATCTGAATACTTTGTCATGAATTTAGTATTTTAGAAATATATTAAAGAATCGTGTAAGAAATTTTAAAGCCAATATGCGAACCATCTACCCTTCCGCTTTCCCTAAATTGGAGAAAAGAATTAGAAAGACCTCATGAACAATATGTTCTGGTTTCAGCCAACAAGGCTTGCAACATATTTGTAACAATATCGTCTTTGTTTGCAAGGCTCATCATTATAAATGATTTTAATTCTACGTCTGGAAAATTAAACCAACTTGTACTCACAGTTCACTTTCTAGAGATGAAAATCTTCAAAATCACATTTCAGTGATGACTACTCTATACCTATACTGGAACTTTATAAGAATCCTTACACACGGAGATACAATACCGGGTACAGCAAATACTCTGCCAAGCCTCTTTCTTTACGCCTTACAAAAAATAACTGCTGTAAATTAAAGGAGAAACTTCAGACGTACTGTGCTACAACATATCCTAGAAGAGGTGTAAAATTAAATGGGGCATCTCAGAATTTCCAAAGAACTTTAAGGAAATTTAAAATCGCCAAACTTCCAAAAGTCAGTAGCATCAAAACGTACGACCTTTCTACACTTTATCCAACCATTCCTCGCGATAAACCAAAATAGGCTTTTTGATATCATAGACAACTGCTTCTTTAATAAAATGAATGTCGGAAATTTTAGTATCTTGTGATTGGTCATCAACAGTATCTGTTTCATAATTGGATAATGTACTGACTATAGAAGATAAGGGCCAACTAACAACTTAACTGCATGAAAAACGAGATGACTTTTCTTAATTATGAGGTAATCACATGCATTTGATGTTTACATCTGAAAAGTTATCATTATTTAAACCGAGGAAGGCTACTGACAGATAAGGTGATATTACATGGATATCTACAATCCCGTTTAAAGTCAGCATTTCATAAATTCTACTGTCATTACAATGACCTTGTTAGCAACTGAAACCTATCATTAGGTCTTATTTTGGCTGACGTATTTCATAATAATTGTTAGGCCTTTGATTTTATATTAAATTCGACTTGGATTTTTTAAAATGACAATTTTACAACGCATTTATCAGAATCAGAAAATTTTATTTAAAGTCGGATTTTCAAACAAATAACATACATGTAAGCTCTGTAGAGCTTTTGACCGACATGATTAGTAAGACATGTACATAAAATATATAAATGACAAAGTTCACATTTTTAAACATAGTTAACATTTCAATGGCATTTATACAATGGAATTTCTTGGAAAAAGTTAATTTTTATGTTCTTTGGGTCTTCTCTAAATTTTTACAAATGTTTGCTCGATTCTTCTACATTGCAATACCACAAATTGTTTTGTTTTGAACATATTTTATTGATTAAATCAAAAGGATTGGAAACAAGTTCTGAAATAACTAGTTTCTCTCCTTATATAATACAATATTTCATGCAAAGAAAAATAAATTCAAATGATACAAATAAAATTTAACATTTTAACTAAAAAAGCGATATGTTTCATCAATTAATTTATGAACAGCAGCAAAAATACTGTTATTTATCTGTCAAGGCAAATTTTCATCACCACATAGTAATAGGTTTAAATCAATAGTGATCAATTCAAGCATGAACAAGCGATTGAAAAGAGTATTTCTAGCATTGGAATAATTTTTGCATGCAAAAAAGAAATGGTACACATCTTGGCGTTTTCCGCATGAACACGAAGGATTAATAATAATATTTCATTTATATAAGTCATAGTTTAGTATACATTTATAATGTCTTAATTAGCTTATTATGAATGATATTGGTATATCGCTTTCCATAAGAAAAGTATGATGGTGGATTTTTAAGTTTTCCTACCAAGTTTTTTTTCGGAATGAATTAATTGAGATGGCTTCCCTAACCTCTATTTTTAGTAAATTCCATTGTTTTATAGCATCGGGTACGAAGGAATTCCGAAATAATTCTAATCTGCATCAAGGAACAACATAGTCTTCTTTATTACGAGTATTGTATGTTAATACATGTTTGCGTTTATTGGAGACAATATTGTGCAAATATTCAGATACTCTTCCCGTGTGAATTTTGAACATAGTTATCATTTTTGCAATATATAGCCTGGCTTTTAATGTTTCCCATCCAGTTTCAGAATATAGTGCTTCTCTAGAAACAAAAACAGGAAGTCCTGTTACAATTCTAGCTGCAGTTAGTTGTACTTTTTCAAGCTTTTCAGAATCTTGTTTAGAGCAGCCATCCCAAACAATGGAAGCATATTCAAGCATAGGTCTAATAAATGTAATATACAATTTTGATAGGTTTTTCCTACCGATTTTGAACTTAAGCTTTTTTAAAAGGCCAAGTTTTTTTATAGGCACTGCTTACTACACCATCAATATATTCAGACCAACGAAGGTTTTGTGAGAATAATAAACCCAGATGACGATGAACTGGAACACACTCCAGTCTGTCACCTTTAAAAAATAACTTGGCATAATAGAAATGTCTTTCTTACTGAAAAATACAGCCTTTGTTTTGGATGGATTAAATCTAAGTAGCCAGTTATTTGACCATAGTTCCAAAATATGTAAATCATGATTCAATTTGTATTCAATATCTAATACATTGTATGATGATCGTTGAAGTGAATTGTCATCAGCAAACAATCTACACATTGAGAGCATATTTTCAGCAACATCACACAAATAACGTTTTAAAATTGTGGAGAGGTGACCCAGAGATACATTATTAAATGGTTTGAAAAACGTGTTTAAAAATGAAATATTTTGTGCTAAATGACCCATTTAGCAATATTGCATGACATTAGTTAATTAGCAAATCAAGACACAATATCGGGAAAGTATTTCCCTATCCCATTTTACCCGAAATAACCCGAAAGATCAATAGAATGATAAAATATTACGTGGCGGATCAATGAAATATTGATTTTTAAAGTGCGCCCATATTCCCTCCAAATGCCAATCGTTCTTTGTTGAATTTTCCAAACTGATCTATAAAATCCATGTTCATCATACAGCTTTCGAAATCACATAAATAATCTTAAGTTTTGCTATTAAAGAAAAAAAGTAATAGCTAAATTTAAAACTATTTTATTTATTAAATCGTATAATTATAATTGGCATCTAAAAAAGAAAAGATCCCACTCATAAAACATGTAATTTCAAAATTTGTACCAATACCAAAAAGGTATATCTATGGAATTTAGAGTCACAGTTGGAAACACTGTTAATCATTATTAACTTTAGTATCTTCTGCAAACAGTTTTTTTTTTTTTTTAAATTCATAATATACGGTAACAGTCGACATAATATATTTCCCGACTAAACGATTGCTACAATTATGATTCAAGTTTTTAGAATTTATATCCTACTTGGAGGAACATGATCATTTTGTGTGATATATCTAATTCCTCAAGAAAAAGGTATCATCCCTTCCAGTTCACTCTTGTTTAAATCAGTACGGGTTTCAGCATGAACGAAATATACCTAAACGTACATGTAGCTACCATTTTGCAGGAATCAGCAGGCCGATTAATACGCTCATCATTTGAGGAAATCTGCAATAATGTCGCAACACAAAACTGCTTGATCCGTGTATTGTTCTTTCTCATATTTCATTCACATTTCATCAGTCACATACTGTACTATTTATCAATTTAATTAGAATTTTGTTATCTAGAGTAGATATACCTGTTAAATGAAAGTCAATATGCCGAATACTACATGTATGGTTAAGTTAAATCTTAACCTTGATGTGAATTCTAGATTCATTTTTATAAATCTATCACTCAGATATTTCAAGGCTTCTCGGCAGATATCCAGATTCATCTGGGTTTTTTTCCAGTTAATGAGAATATAAATACATTTTTATGCTGGAGAATCAATCATATCATGTTGCTGAATTCCAGCATTGTGTTTAGGGGCATCTTTGGGCCCTCTATCAGAGCCCATACATCTTCTGTTCTTCTTTCCAGCTTTCTTATTTGGACCGTATTTAATATGACGAATCATAATTGGGATGTCGCTGATCACGAGGATTCCGATGAGAAATGTGATGATGAGTGGTCCAAATATCATTCCCACTGATACGGCGGAAGGGCTTTTATCATAAAAAGATATGCGTTGGCGAAGACGTTGATTTAATATACTTTTATTGACTTTCAACTCCTTTTTCATTTTTTCAATTTTATCTTTGAGCACTTTCTTGTTTGTAATGATGACTTGATTTTTCATGCGCTCGCATGGACAGAAACAACCTTGAAGTAAAGCATTGCAATTAAAAAACATATTGCAAATTGAAAAAAAAAAGATCGATAAACGTTTCATTTTTGTGCAAGTTTCAGAAGTTCTTACTATAATTCTTTTTTAATCTTTATTAAAGTTGCTGACATATCCTACTCATTTTTACATAAAAGTACGACGTTTTACCATAAAATAATTATGTTAAATGCATTTTTGAATAAAATGGTGCAAATAGTGTTACATACACTAGCTGTACGATTTTTAAAATTACTGATAGTAAAAGAGCATTGAACACTTAAAAAGCATTAACATTTAAGAAAGACTACCTTGCCTCACAGAGGAAGCTGTATTTGATACTGCAGATGTAGCTGTTGATACATGTACCATAGAGCTGTGGCTTGATTTATCTATAGTTGTTGGTGTAGATGTTGATAGGGACGATGACACCGATGTAGAGCTGTCGGTTGATGACGATTTATATGTAGTAATTGGCGTAGATGCAGACAAAGACGATGATACCGATGTGGAGCTGTCGGTTGATGATAATTTATGTGTAGTATGTGGTGAAGATGTTGACAACGACGATGATACCGATGTGGAGCTGTCGGTTAATGACCATATATCTGTAGTTGTCGCAGATATTGGCAAGGACGATGATATTGATTTGGATCTGCCGGAAAATGAAAATTCCTCTGTAGTTGTTGGCGTAGATGTAAACAAGGACGATGGCACTGATGTGGAGCTGTCGGTTGATGACAATTTATCTGTAGTTGTTGGTGTAGATGTTGGCATGGGCGATGATATCTTTGTAGAGCTGTCGGTTGATGACAATTTATCGGTAATTGTTGGATTATATCTTATCATGGACGATGATACCATAGTTGTTGGCGTAGATGTAGACAAGAACGATGACACAGATGTGCATCTCTCGGTTGATGACGATTTATCTGCAGTTGTTTGCGAAGATATTAGCAATGACGATGAAACCAATGTGTAGCTGTCGGAAGATGAAAATTTCTCTGTAGTTGTTGGCGTAGATGTAGAAGAGGACGATGATGCCGATGTAGAGCTGTCGGTTGATGACGATTTATCTGCAGTTGTTGGTATAGATGTTGACATGGACCATGATACTGATGTGGAGCTGTCGGTTAATGACGATTTATCTGTTGTTGTTGTCGCAAATATTGGCAAGGACGATGATATTGATATGGAGCTGTCGGTAGATGAATATTTATCTGTTGTTGTTGGTATAGATGTTGGTATGAACGATGATGATAAAGATTTGGAACTGTCGGTTGATGAAGACTTATCTGTAGTTGAAAGTGTTGATATTGGCAAGGAAGATGATACCGATGTGTAGATGTCGGTTGATGACGACTCATCTGTAGGTTGTGGTGTAAATATAGACAAGGACGATGGTACCGATGTGGAGCTTGTGGTTGTTGACAATTTATCTGTATTTGTTGGTGTAGATGTTTGCAAGGACAATGATACCGAGGGGGATCTGTCGGTTGATGACGATTTATTTGTAGTTGTTGGAGTAGATGTAGACAAGGACGATGTTACCGATGTGGAAATCTTGGTTGATGACAATTTATCTGTAGTTGTTGGATGATATCTTGGCATGGACGATGATACCGTAATTGTTGGCGTAGATGTAGACAAGAACAATGACACAGATGTGGAGCTCTCGGTTGATGACGATCTGTCTGTAGTTGTTAGCGTAGATGTAGACAAGGACGATGATACCGATGTGGAGCTTTTGGTTGATAAAAATTTATCTGTAGTTGTTGATGTAAATGTTGGCATAGACGATGATATCGATGTGGAGCTGTCGGTTGATGACAATTTATCTGTAATTGTTGGATTATATCTTAGCATGGACGATGATACCGTAGTTGTTGGCGTAGATTTAGACAAGAACGATGATACAGATGTGGAGCTCTCGGTTGATGACGATTTATCTGCAGCTGTTGGCGTAGATATTGGCAAGGACGATGAATCCAATATGTAGCTGTCGGTTGATGAAGATTTCTCTGTAGTTGTTGGCGTAGATGTTAGCAAGGAGGATGATACCGATGAGGATCTATCGGTTGATGACGTTTTAGCTGTGGTTGTTGGCGTAGATGTCGACAAGGATGACGATACCGATGTAAAGCTGTCGGATGATGACAATTTATCTGTTTCTGTTGTAGATGTTGGCAAAGACGATGATACCGATATGGAACTGTCGGTTGATGACGATTTATCTGTAGTTTTTGGTGTAGATATTGGCAAGGACGATGAAACCAATGTGTAGCTGTCGGTTAATGACAATTTATCTGTAGTTGTTGGTGTAGACGTTGGCTTGGACGATGATACCAATATGGAGCTGTCGGTTGATGGCGATTTATCTTTAGTTGATGATGTAGATGTTTGCATGAACGATGATAAAGATATGGAGCTGTCGGTTGATGAAGACTTATCTCTATTTGAAAGTGTTGACAAAGAAGATGATACCGATGTGTAGATGTCGGTTGATGATGACTCATCTGTAGGTTGTGGTGTAGATGTAGACAAGGACGACGATACCGATGTGGAGCTTGTGGTTGTTGACAATTTATCTGTATTTGTTGGTGTAGATGTTTGCAAAGACGATGATACCGAGGGGGATCTGTCGGTTGATGACGCTTTATCTGTAGTTGTTAGAGTAGAAGTAGACAAGGACGATGATACCGATGTGGAGCTTTTAGTTGATAAAAATGTATCTGTAGTTGTTGGTGTAAATGTTGGCATAGACGATGATATCGATGTGGAGCTGTCGGTTGATGACAATTTATCTGTAATTATTGGATTATATCTTGGCATGGACGATGATGCCGTAGTTGTTGGCGTTGATGTAGACAAGAACGATGACACAGATGTGGAGCTCTCGGTTGGTGACGATTTATCAGCAGTGGTTGGCGTAGATATTGACAAGGACGATGAAACCAATGTGTAGCTGTCGGTTAATGACAATTTATCTGTAGTTGTTGGTGTAGATGTTGGCATGAACGATGATAAAGATTTGGAGCTGTCAGTTGATGAAGACTTATCTGTAGTTGAAAGTGATGATATTGACAAGGAAGATGATACCGATGTGTAGATGTCCGCATGTGAGTTAAGGCTGGGTATAGGCGTTTCTATGCAAATGAGCTAATAAAAACGCATAAGAGGTATACTTATTATTCAGAGAAAATTTGATTTATTTTCTTATGCATACTTAGTACCCAAGATATGTTATAGCCAGTACACATTATGACGTCATATTATGACGTCATTGTTCTTACCTACTTGATGTTATAAAACATATCAAACAAAACAGCTTCGGCGCAAGGGATTACCTTATTTAATTTTACATGAAAATTGTATAATGCTAAGAAGAATATTCTATAGATTAATAAAGCTACTGCACAAATCCTAGGCATTTTCTCATTTGATCGGAATTTGAGGAAACATATACCGGACTGTACATTTTTATCCTGATTCAACTTAAAACTTTTCAAATAGAAATTATACAACTGAGCTGTTGATATCTGTGCAGCAATACTAGCAATCTTTGTGATATTTTGCTTCTAAATATACCTTGTTTCAGTTAAATAAAATAGAGCATGCCTTAGCGCCGAAGCATTTTTGTTGATGTCCATTATAATTTTGTGTAGTAAAGAACAATGACGTCATAATATGACGTCATAATGTGTACTGGCTATCTCATGTCGTGGGTACCAAGTATGTATTAGACAATAAGTTTTAACTTTCCACTTATAATAGATATAGACCTTAGACATTTTAATTAGTTTATTTGCATAGAAATGCCTATACCTAGCCTTAACTCACCTGCGTCGGTTGATGACGATTCATCTGAAGGTTGTGGTGTATATGAAGACAAGGACGATGATACCGATGTGGAGCTTGTGGTTGTTGACAATTTATCTGTATTTGTTGGTGTAGATGTTTGCAAGGACAATGATACCGAGGGGGATCTGTCGGTTGATGACGATTTATCTGTAGTTGTTGGATGATATCTTGGCATGGACGATGATACCGTAATTGTTGGCGTAGATGTAGACAAGAACAATGACACAGATGTGGAGCTCTCGGTTGATGACGATCTGTCTGTAGTTGTTAGCGTAGATGTAGACAAGGACGATGATACCGATGTGGAGCTTTTGGTTGATAAAAATTTATCTGTAGTTGTTGATGTAAATGTTGGCATAGACGATGATATCGATGTGGAGCTGTCGGTTGATGACAATTTATCTGTAATTGTTGGATTATATCTTAGCATGGACGATGATACCGTAGTTGTTGGCGTAGATTTAGACAAGAACGATGATACAGATGTGGAGCTCTCGGTTGATGACGATTTATCTGCAGCTGTTGGCGTAGATATTGGCAAGGACGATGAATCCAATATGTAGCTGTCGGTTGATGAAGATTTCTCTGTAGTTGTTGGCGTAGATGTTAGCAAGGAGGATGATACCGATGAGGATCTATCGGTTGATGACGTTTTAGCTGTGGTTGTTGGCGTAGATGTCGACAAGGATGACGATACCGATGTAAAGCTGTCGGATGATGACAATTTATCTGTTTCTGTTGTAGATGTTGGCAAAGACGATGATACCGATATGGAACTGTCGGTTGATGACGATTTATCTGTAGTTTTTGGTGTAGATATTGGCAAGGACGATGAAACCAATGTGTAGCTGTCGGTTAATGACAATTTATCTGTAGTTGTTGGTGTAGACGTTGGCTTGGACGATGATACCAATATGGAGCTGTCGGTTGATGGCGATTTATCTTTAGTTGATGATGTAGATGTTTGCATGAACGATGATAAAGATATGGAGCTGTCGGTTGATGAAGACTTATCTCTATTTGAAAGTGTTGACAAAGAAGATGATACCGATGTGTAGATGTCGGTTGATGATGACTCATCTGTAGGTTGTGGTGTAGATGTAGACAAGGACGACGATACCGATGTGGAGCTTGTGGTTGTTGACAATTTATCTGTATTTGTTGGTGTAGATGTTTGCAAAGACGATGATACCGAGGGGGATCTGTCGGTTGATGACGCTTTATCTGTAGTTGTTAGAGTAGAAGTAGACAAGGACGATGATACCGATGTGGAGCTTTTAGTTGATAAAAATGTATCTGTAGTTGTTGGTGTAAATGTTGACATAGACGATGATATCGATGTGGAGCTGTCGGTTGATGACAATTTATCTGTAATTGTTGGATTATATCTTGGCATGGACGATGATGCCGTAGTTGTTGGCTTTGATGTAGACAAGAACGATGACACAGATGTGGAGCTCTCGGTTGGTGACGATTTATCAGCAGTGGTTGGCGTAGATATTGACAAGGACGATGAAACCAATGTGTAGCTGTCGGTTAATGACAATTTATCTGTAGTTGTTGGTGTAGATGTTGGCATGAACGATGATAAAGATTTGGAGCTGTCAGTTGATGAAGACTTATCTGTAGTTAAGTGATGATATTGACAAGGAAGATGATACCGATGTGTAGATGTCCGCATGTGAGTTAAGGCTGGGTATAGGCGTTTCTATGCAAATGAGCTAATAAAAACGCATAAGAGGTATACTTATTATTCAGAGAAAATTTGATTTATTTTCTTATGCATACTTAGTACCCAAGACATGTTATAGCCAGTACACATTATGACGTCATATTATGACGTCATTGTTCTTACCTACTTGATGTTATAAAACATATCAAACAAAACAGCTTCGGCGCAAGGGATTACCTTATTTAATTTTACATGAAAATTGTATAATGCTAAGAAGAATATTCTATAGATTAATAAAGCTACTGCACAAATCCTAGGCATTTTCTCATTTGATCGGAATTTGAGGAAACATATACCGGACTGTACATTTTTATCCTGATTCAACTTAAAACTTTTTAAATAGAAATTATACAACTGAGCTGTTGATATCTGTGCAGCAATACTAGCAATCTTTGTGATATTTTGCTTCTAAATATACCTTGTTTCAGTTAAATAAAATAGAGCATGCCCTTGCGCCGAAGCATTTTTGTTGATGTCCATTATAATTTTGTGTAGTAAAGAACAATGACGTCATAATATGACGTCATAATGTGTACTGGCTATCTCATGTCGTGGGTACCAAGTATGTATTAGACAATAAGTTTTAACTTTCCACTTATACATGTAATAGATATAGTCCTTAGACATTTTAATTAGTTTATTTGCATAGAAATGCCTATACCTAGCCTTAACTCACCTGCGTCGGTTGATGACGATTCATCTGAAGGTTGTGGTGTATATGAAGACAAGGACGATGATACCGATGTGGAGCTTGTGGTTGATAAAAATTTATCTGTAGTTGTTGGTGTAAATGTTGACATAGACGATGATATCTTTGTAGAGCTGTCGGTTGATGACAATTTATCTGTAATTGTTGGATTATATCTTAGCATGGACGATGATACCGTAGTTGTTGGCGTAGATCTAGACAAGAACGATGATACAGATGTGGAGCTCTCGGTTGAGGACGATTTATCTGCAGCTGTTGGCGTAGATATTGGCAAGGATGATGAATCCAATATGTAGCTGTCGGTTGATGGCGATTTATCTGTAGTTGATGGTGTAGATGTTTGCATGAACGATGATAAAGATATGGAGCTGTCGGTTGATGAAGACTTATCTCTATTTGAAAGTGTTGACAAAGATGATACCGATGTGTAGATGTCGGTTGATGATGACTCATCTGTAGGTTGTGGTGTAGATGTAGACAAGGACGACGATACCGATGTGGAGCTTGTGGTTGTTGACAATTTATCTGTATTTGTTGGTGTAGATGTTTGCAAAGACGATGATACCGAGGGGGATCTGTCGGTTGATGACGCTTTATCTGTAGTTGTTAGAGTAGAAGTAGACAAGGACGATGATACCGATGTGGAGCTTTTAGTTGATAAAAATGTATCTGTAGTTGTTGGTGTAAATGTTGACATAGACGATGATATCGATGTGGAGCTGTCGGTTGATGACAATTTATCTGTAATTATTGGATTATATCTTGGCATGGACGATGATGCCGTAGTTGTTGGCGTTGATGTAGACAAGAACGATGACACAGATGTGGAGCTCTCGGTTGGTGACGATTTATCAGCAGTGGTTGGCGTAGATATTGACAAGGACGATGAAACCAATGTGTAGCTGTCGGTTAATGACAATTTATCTGTAGTTGTTGGTGTAGATGTTGGCATGAACGATGATAAAGATTTGGAGCTGTCAGTTGATGAAGACTTATCTGTAGTTGAAAGTGATGATATTGACAAGGACGATGATACCGATGTGGAGCTTGTGGTTGTTGACAATTTATCTGTATTTGTTGGTGTAGATGTTTGCAAGGACGATGATGCCGAGGGGGATCTGTCGGTTGATAACGATTTATCTGTAGTTGTTAGAGTAGATGCAGACAAGGTAGATGATGACAATTTATCTGTTTCTGTTGTAGATGTTGGCAAAGACGAAAATATCGATATGGAACTGTCGGTTGATAACGATTTATCTGTAGTTGTTGGTGTAGATGATGGCAAGGACGATGAAACCGATATGGAGCTGTCGGTTGATGACGATTTAGATGTCGATGATCTTTCAGGGTCAGTTGTTGATAGTGATAATGATGTGAAGCTGATGCCTTCAATCGATGTATTTGATGGTTCAGGTTTAATTGTTGGCAGGATTGGTCGTATACAATTTTTCGACGTCGTATCTGTAATGGATAAATGAATTTTGCAAATAAACTCCGAAATGCCTGCACCAGAGTTCATATTTACTCCTCTAAGAATACACTAGGTATGAGGTGATGTCCGTAAACTATATTTAGGTTTCACTTGCATAGTAATTATTGTAAATTTAATTAAAGGTCTACTTTCATTTTCGATAAACAGTCCTGAAATAGCAAAAGAGAGAGTACGGTGATGGTTTCGGTTGGCGGATCTAAGTTACTGGCGATTTTTTATGA